GTCTTTTATTCTAATGTAATTGTGTAGAAGATAGGTTAAGGACATTTTTACATATAAGCTTTTGTAAGTCTGGTTAATCATTTTAATGAAAAATGACAGTCTACGGATTACACTTTTGCATATAAGTAATATAAGTTGCATTAATCATTTCCATTTCTTTTAATAATTCATTATGTGGTTTCAAAAGTTTATACAATTTGGTCAAGTTGGATTAATATATCGCACCAAAAATGACACATAATTCTCGTGTGTATTTCTCAGATGACTAGAACTCTACCAAAGGCGAGATTCAATGTCAGATTTCCCTTGTAATTGACAATAGCATCCATTCTAAAAGAAACCCCATTAAACATGGTCCAACTAGAGGCCTACGATAGGCCAAGAAAAGTACAGAGAGTTTGACAGGCCTAATAAACAAAAAAAGGAAAAGCCCACAAGAGAGAAGGAAAGAGTTCTGTCACTCATAATTATAATATATTAATATCATAATTATAATAATAAAAATAATAAGTTTGTCGATTATGCATCATGACCACAAAATTCCATTTAGTTAACATTTCAAATATAAGTACATAAATTAAGTATATGAAAGTAAAAGGTGTATTTTCATGAAAAGTTTTATGCTTAGAATAAAATTTTTTTATGAACATAAAATACTATAATCAATTAAATTTTAATTGTTTAATTTTGAGATTACAAAAATAAAAAAAAGAAGGAAACAGATTAATATGACACATATCCTTTCAGCAGTTAATAGTTGCTCAATTAGTTACATATTTAAAAAAATTATATATGTCAAAAATATATTCATTCAAAGTAAGACATGCACCATCAATTGATTATTAAAAGATTATAAAATTTGACACCTAATTTTCTAGCCACTAAGATAAAAAAAAAATTATTATGCAAAAGCACACTCTAAAAAAAGTGACAAACCATTTATAAGAAAAAAATCAAATTTATTTCAATGCAGTGTTATATATTCAAGCACAATTAATTGTAATTGGTACAATATTATTTTATTTCTCAAACAAATTACAATATTATAAGTCATTTACCTCAATGTAATAATCAATCGAGTTTATTTATATATTTAGAAGTGATTTACTAAATAATCTTTAAGTGCCAAAATCTTGACCGCATAAAAAACCACTAAATATACAAATTCTATTTATAACTTACAAAAATATCATAGAATAAGAGTGTTTTGGATGAAATTAATTACGTAACCCTTCAAAGAATGGGATAGAACTGCAGATGGTAAATATGAAAGAAAAGATCCATAAAACAATTTACCCAATAATAAATAATTAAATACGATATTTATTTATTATATAAAAAAAATTTAATTACTGCAACTGAACACTTGATTCAGTAATAAATGTGTATGTTCCGCAACTTTAAAAGGATTCAAATCTCTTTCCCTCAAAATCAAAAAAAGGAAGAGAAAAAGTTATTATTAACATTCTCAATTTCAACATAAATAAAATAAAATTAATAAATAATAGCAAAACAACATTGTCTCAAAATATTAAAGGCGAAAGTTTATTTTTCAAAATAAAGTTTTATTAATATATAGTGACAATAGCAAAGAGCTCTTCACAAAAGAGTCGAAAGAAAATATATCAAATTCGAATATGATATAATAATTAATTGTATAAATCTATATATATTTGAAACATTGTAATAATTCATACTGCTTATATGAGAAAGTGGGCGGTGGCTGACAATATTGAGATTCAAAAGCGTGCGATGTCTTGAATTTTAGGGGTGTCCAATATTATTCTTTCTATTTTAAGGGTGTAATTCAGCTCCGACCATCCCCTTGAGTGTAACAATTTATATTAGACTAATTTTAAATTATTCAAAAGTTAACTTCAATTTGTAGCATTTCCCTTTAATGTGTATATGCATGTGAATCACGTTATAGATTTTAGCTCTAATAAAATCAATGAATTATCTCTAATTTCAAAAATGAGAAAGGTGCTAATGGAATTGATGATTTATGTGAAAGGACAAAACTTGTCTTAACTCTTATGGTTATGGATGTTAAATTTAAGGATGCTGATGTTGTTAATGTCAAATGTCATGATTGAGATATGTTCACTTTGTTTTTTTCAATTATGTTGGTTTGTACTTTGTATTAATTTATTTATATTTATATTATTTTTATATTTTATAATTATAAATAATATTTATAAATTTCAACATTGTAATTTGTAAAAGATAAAAAAATAATAAAATTTTAATTTTTTTTATCCATAATGGAATCGATCGAGTCAATTAAATCTTTGAACTATTTTATTTTCACTTTAAATTTTATGAGTCTGATTGGTCTTTTAAAAAAATTTGATCAATTCAAATTGAACAATTGTTCACCCCTGATATAATGAATATTTATGAATGATTGATGTTTAGACCTATCCACTAGCCGAGCAATCGATCTTGCCTAGTCCGAGGTAAATTTTGCATGCTGGTCAAGGTAAGCGTGTGATAAGGAATAAGCAACCAAGGTCATGAAAACAATGAATCCATCCTGCTTTTGTCATTCATAAATTTTACTGTTCCATGAAAGCATGATACCACCAAAATTTTGTCTAGGAAATGGTTTACTTATTTTAGAATAAAAAAAAATGAACTGTTATAGGAAGTTCCACCTCATGGCCAAGTGCATGCATTCATCATTGAAACTACTTGAACACAATTTTAGAGGTTCCACACATCGCACTAATTCCAACCCATCTTTGAAAGAAAAAACATTCATTTTCACATTACCCAAGTGTGATCAATAAATAAAATTTTAAATTTCTTTCTACATGTGTACGAATTTATATTAAAAAAAGAATATATAATTAAGAACAAAAACAAGAAAACAAGCACCTAACTAAATAAAAAATTTAACTTATATTAAGATCATCTTAAAGTTGATTTTTAAGCATCTAATGATACAGTGCCATTTCATAATTTTCTACGAACACGTAATTATCTTTATATATTCACCCAAATGAAAATTTGGGTCTGAAAAAGTTAGATTTTTGTAGTTAACCTAATTAATATATTTACAATTAATATTTAACCTAAGGAAAGAAAAAGAAAAAAATAAACTGTAAAAACATAAAGTTAGCATAAATTAATGAGAAAAAAGAAGGCAGAAAAAAGGAAGAAGACCAATAACTATTAAACTTGGTTGAGACATTTTGTTTTCTCTTCTCTGTTGTTAGTACGTGTATATGATAATAAGATTCTTTAAAAATGATAATTGAAAATTTAGGAGATTGTGAACATCAATAGGTAAAGGAGAGAGTTAATAATATATATATATATATAATAAAAAAGTTGGGTCTATATGTTTTGATCTTTATGAAGACAAAAGAGAGGAGCATAGCTAAAGGGATATACATGGATGTTGGCATGCAATGGCAATAATACCAAAACAAATTAAAAAAGAACATAGTATAAAATAATTATTCCATGGAGTGGCATGCAATGGAATTTAGATGAATGTTTGCATTCAGGGTTTTATATGGAAAAAAATTAAAATTTTCAAATGACATATTACGAAAAGGTGACAAACTAATAATGAAATTTACTTTATTTTCGGAGTATAATTGGTCGAAAGAAGGTATAACACCACAACTAGTCATAGTTAAATGAAGTAATTGGATCATTTGGACTGTCGAACACTTTATTAGTCTATTAAAATATAAGCATACTTCAGTAATAATAAAAAAATGTAGTGTAGATTTGAATATTTAAAGTCCGACGGATGGTTGTTACATATATATGCACTTAAAATGGGTAAAGGTCATGAGCACCTAATATTTTGGTTTTCTGTTAGTTGACCGGTGTGTACGATTGAAAAGGCAAAGCTTTCTGTTGATTGCAGCGGCAAAGCATTCCATTAAGACTTCACATCCTTGCTTTTATACTATTATTAACCTGTTGTAGGAGTTTCAACAGCATGACTAAGTGCATGCATGCGCACACTGTATTCATCAATGAAATACATCCTTGCTTTTCAAAAATAAATGGAATACATACTTTGAACGCATTTTTCAAGCCCACTCCTAGATTTATTGGGGTTCATCAGCACATTTTCAAAGCGTTTCCCTCAAACAAAATCTGTCATATATCTTAATATTTTTCCATTTCAATTTGTTTGAAAGAAGGCCGCATTAGTTTAATGCTTTGCATAATCTCTTCCTCCTTATTATTAAAAATTTAGGGCCTTAAGAGATTATAAAGGAGAGAGATGATAACATTAAAACTCTACAGTTGGGTCTATTCTGATCTTTATGAAGGGGAAGGAGAGGAGCATCTAAATGGAATGAAATGAGCGTAGAATATGAATGCAGTGGCAGCAATATAGCAACAAAAAGAAAAAGAACATACAAAATAAGTAATTAGGTGCTCCTCTTCTGAATTAATTTATTCAAATTTTTCCACTTCATGTCCTTAATTCCCAGCCAATTGAAAGGTATAAATTACAAATACTTTGTGTTAAATAATTGAAAGGTGCGTTTCAACTACAATTACTTTGTACTAAATAAAGAATATTAAAAGGAAAAGCAAGTCTAAAAATATATTAAACACCTTAAAGGTTTGTGCATACACTCCTGCAAGAAGGAGCTGCATTGCTCCCTGGGGTTGCTGTCAAATTAGGAAGATGGTTTCTACATGTGGTCTGATTTTGTAGGTGTTCTGATAGGTTTGCAGTTGTTTTCTTTCTGACATACACAGCACAAACAATGTTGTGGAACATGTCCCTCATGTTTTGGCTGTATCACTACCACTCATACCTACTTTTTGTATACAGGTTTAAAGATATGAAATCATTTTTAATGTTGCTGAACATGCCCCTCATGTTTTGGCGGCATCACTACCACTCATATCTAGTTTTTGTATACAGTTTTAAAGAAATGAAATCATTTTTAATGTTGTGGAACACGTCCCTCATGTTTTGGCTGCATCACTACCACTCATTCCCAGTTTTTGTATACAGTTGTAAAGAAATGAAATCATTTTTAATGTCTTTAACAAAAAAAAAAGTGATGTCCAAACGCCAGCACGAGTTTCGAGGTTTCATTCAATTGGATTTTTTAGTCGCCTACACCCCATTGTGAGAATGAATAGGAATGATGTTTTTTCTTTTCAATTTTCTATGTTTGAATGTTAGAATATTAATTGGATATAAAACGTCATGATTTTTGTCTTGTTGTAGATTAAATAAACAATTTTTTTTCTCAGTCAAAGTTAAGTTAGTGTTAATGGTGAAAGATGTGCAAAAATAGTTTCAGCTCAAGAGTGCTAGAGCACAATGAGCGTTACAGGAAGGGCAACTGAAAAAAACCCAAAGCCTTTGAGTGGCTTAGGCATAACAAACAAGAACACCTAGCTTAACATCTAAGAGGCTTGCACAATGAATAGTTCCCATCTGAAGTAACCGCAAAACCAGCATAAATCGCAAGCCGAGAGCGGGCTTAAGCAGCTTAGCAGAAATTAAACACAATGTGCAGAAGGAAGAAAGAGACCAGAGCAGTAGTGGAGCATAGCAGAAAAACACAAAGCAGCAATGAACACAGTGGAAGCACAGCAGTAGTAAAACCATCAACCAACAGTGGTAAAAAAGGATCTTGATCGAGCATATAAGACAAAGGGCCATAGCACCATCCCGATAAGCAATCCAAACTTTGGAGCATAAACAAGAGAAAGGGAGTGAGAGAGGCCTTACCATATGACTGAAAACATAGAATGTCTTAGCTTTACCAAAGGGCAATACCAAACTTTGGTCTCGACTATTAAAGTTGTGGCTTAGCTTAAACAGTATTCAACTCAACTGAAATCCACACGCTGAATCCACACTGTTTCACACGGTTTTCAATGCAAGATCCTTGTAATCTTGCTAAGTTTTCAGCATAGACTTCTCTTCTTCTTATAACCCTATAAATATGTCATCGTATCACTGCTCGCAAACCTATTAGCAAATACTTAAACTTTCACTTGAGCTCCTTTCTGACTCTTCGCCCATGGAAGCAACCAGTGTTTCATCATTTAGGCTTGCCTACCGACGAAGGCCTCTCCGGCTTGATCCTAAGTACTGGAAAAAGTCCCCTAGCTTCATCGTGGCTTCATGTAGAGGGAGCGATGGACCGGATTATGTGGGTAAACTCGTTGGCGAAAGCATGATTGTTCTACGACTGCGGATCAAGGAGATAAAGATTTCTGAGAATAGGGTTGAGCTGCCTTCGGATTGGATGGAGTGGGAGAAGCAATACTTTCCACACTATAACGAAGATGTTTTTGAAGCTATGGGGCTTTTGCAAAACTTTTTGATGAATATGAGGCCAAGTTTAGCTGTTGGAATGGTGGCACTTGTTTTGTTAAGTGTGCCATTATCCTCTGGTTTGACCTTGTTTCAAGCTTTGCAAATAGCTCAGGGATTCATATCTAGGTTCAATCCAAGTTGATTTGTTATTTGTTAGCACATGTTATTCAAAATGCTTCATATCTAGGTAGGCCAATCATATGACCGATATATTGTCTTGCTGTAATCCTTTTATAGTTTGATCTTATTATCTTGGAAAGCTGGAAGATCAACCTTTCTGTCTCTTTTGATTTGCTTGTTCTTGAACTCCAGCTCTCACTCTTTTATCAATAAAACTATCTATTCAAATATATCTTTCATTTAGCAAAGTAAAGTGAAAAGTAGAAGAAAGGAATAAAATTTTTAATTATGCAGTTGATTATTTTCAGTTTGATTTTTTTTAATTTTTAATAAACTATTATATCCATATAAGAAAATCAACGAGATAAACCAAACAAACAAACAAATATAGTTGGATAAAATCTATCATAAAATTAGAACAATTCCACGTACGGTGAGACTACAATACCTCAATAGCATTTACAAAATTAATTGAATCTAATAAAAATGTAAGACTATTAATAATGAAATTCTCATTAATATGGCAATAAAAGCCAAAGGATAATCAAAAGTCACTTATATGATGAATTTTGAGTTAAGCATAAATGAGTTACACATAAAGTTTAACATATATATATATATATATTACAACAAAAATGTAAATGTGAATTAATATGCAATTTTATATTTCTTTGTATATTGATTGCTTTAGGTGTACAGTTAAAAAGAAAAGCTTTACTTAATTTAAATGCAGCAGCAGCAAATTAATCATTCATCATGACTTTTTTGTTGTTGTATTAACTGTTACAAGAAGTTCCACTTCATGCCCAAGTGCATGCACGGACACCCTATTCATCATTGAAAATTTTATTTTTGAAAAGCTTCATTTGAATTAATCATTAAAATTACTTGAACGCGATTTTAAGATTCCACGGTTCACATTAATTTCAACTCATTTTTAAAAAAATTAATATTTTGATATTAATTAAATTTGACTCAGATCATACGCGTGCGTATGGATATATAATTATAAATTTTTTAAAAAATATTTAATTAAGAACAAGAACAATAAAAAAGGAAGAAGACCTAAAAACTATTAAACTTTGTGGACGGGTTTTTTTTAATTCTCCTATCTCTTGTTAGTTTTGCTTATATTTCAAGTCTAGCTTTTCTCTTATTGATCATCTCCTATGGGGAATTTTTCACTACTCTGCATCTCTCTCTTTATAGAGTGTATCTTAATTTCTCCCTTTGATAATTCCTTCTTGACCTTTCAATAACCAAAAACCAACATGACTTGGACAGGGAGATAAAAATCACTATTCCTCAGCCTCTCTGATGAATTTAACTTTGTCGGTATCCAAGCCTCTTTTTCATTTCAATTATATTTATCAAGTATATAGGGTAAGATTATTCGAAGTAATATTGCCCATGGAGGAGTAGAGGATCGAGAAGTGAAAAGGACGAGGCGTGGAATATAGCACAAAAAAAAAAGGACAACATAAAATAATTAATCAGTTGCTCCTCCTTCAGATTAAGTTATTCAATCATTTGTGTCCACGTCGTGATCCGTACTCCCTACCAATCCCAATATAAACTACAAATGATGAACCAACCTTCCTTTAGTCTTTAAAATTTCCGGCTAACATAATAGTGTTCTGGTGAAAACGTTTACTAGTCAAAGATAAGATGGTTGACTTGCGTTTAGAAATCTATATATAGTATCCTGTCTGTTATTACTAGTAAATGCTGTAATCATTTACATCCGAACTTACAAAATTCAACACTCAAACTTAGGCCAAATTCTTGTAATCTAATAACTGTTCCTATATAGGCAGAATTGGTAAAAGAGATAGTAATTGAGTAAAAAAAAAATGATATAATGATCTATAGTGTAACACCTATACTAATGTTAATCGATAAATTTCTTTAAATCAAATTTTATTATTAAATTTTAGGATTTTTTTATAAATATTGTCATCCCATATTTTGACTTAATGATTCATATATATAATTTTTTAAGACGTTGAAAAAATACATGTACAATAATGTCAAGATACTGTACACCAATAGATTCAACATTAAAATTAATATCGGAATGACAAAAACTATTTAACATATTACTATAAATTTGACAGTAAAGAAACATATTCTTATGTGATAAGAAATAAATACTAATTATTAACATTTTTAATATCTGAAACATGTGCATATATATATAACGTGTAACTTAATTTTTTTAGATAAAACTTGACATGGAATTTTAGTGTTTCATTATATATATATATATATATATATATATATATATATATATATATATGGGGTAAGAAAAGTATACTGGTCTCAAAAATTTGATTTTTTTTAAACATTTAAATTTAAAATTTTTAAATAAAAAATGTCAACATTTAGTCATTAAATTTCCCTTGCAAAGTTAGAGATCAGCATTTTATTGAGCTAAACTGTTATTTTTGTTAAAACAGGAATTAATGCAATTTTTTTTTAAAAGTTCATAAATTCATTAAAAATAGAGGAAACAATTGTTCCACCTCTGAAATTAAGAACAGCAAATTTTATCCTGTTACACTCCCATTCAAATACAACATACCAAAATCTACTCAAAAATCATAACACTTCCCCTATAACCATTCAAGCACTCATCATTTCGCTAATCACCTAAGTCTAAAACCCATAGAGCCTCAGAACGCCAGAGGCCATGGCAAAAAAAAACAAAAGACTAAAAGTCAATATCTGCCGAGCTATACATTAATCACAGTTCCCTGTACATCCAACATCCAATATGACAACAACATCGCATGCCCAACAATCTAGAATCATTCACAGCCATCAGCATATCAAAAGAATTAATGCAATGCCGAATAGAAATCCTCTTGTCTCCTCTGGTGCCCCACTTTCTTGCCCCGTTAATATAACTCGCCATGTGTCCCATCATGTCTTCTAATTTTTAACTGCGTTTGAAGGGGTTCTTAATCAAAAGGCTAACAACTTAGTGAGAAAGTAGTCATGAATCAAGTTGCAGATGGCCACCGTGGTCAAAACTCAAGGTTGACAATATATTCAAGATTTGTCTTGATGTTCAACATAACTTAACGCGGAAGCAGGAGCATGAACCAATGATATCATAAACTATTTTATGTTCATGGCTTCTGCCTAGAACATGTCAAATCATCATAGTAATTACAGAACAACAAAAGCGAACTGAAGCCCGGTACGAAGTACTATCCAAGTGCTATATTCGCCATCTGTGGCCCCAACGTCAATTCCCATTTCAAGTTGTAGGTCTCCAGATTATCCATCACGACAAAAAAAAGTTGCTTTGATGGTGGATTCTTGAGCTCTTCCCTTCTCATTTTTATATGTGTTAGATATTTCAAGTTTGTCCGGAAGTTTCAAATTTTCGAAATTTGCCAAATTATAATGAGGATTTTG